TAGTCGAGTGCCCTCTCTTGCCACTTATTTAACATATAGTGACAGATCTTGTTTTTGCCAAGCTACTGTCGGGTATATTCTTTTTTTCTTGTTGAAACTTATGGCGTTATTTTAAACTCCTTTTTTTTCGAAGGTGAGAAGAGTTGTTTGTTGAGTAAATCTTGTTGTTTCATGAGCGATGTTGCATTCTTTACTATGAAGAAGAGTATACATATCTTCAAGAAGTAAAAATTGTAAATTTGCGTGCATCGCTGTCTTGAACCCGTGGTAACTTAGTGGTATACTGTTCAGAGTGTAGAGTATAACATCTTCAGTGCCCACTTTGGACCTTACTGCAAAGATGTTATCAATAAGATTTTTTTATTGTTGTGAGATATTGTGTCATGTTGCTTGATCTCATAGTTATATTATGGAGTTCATTCTTTAATTGAATGACTCAAGATATATTCGATGCCCGAAATCTTCTTTTCAAAGTCTATCAGATCTCAACAATGGTGTTGAGATGTAGAATGTATGACAAGATTAATGGGAAAATTGTAGAAAACATTGTTACAGCTAGATTTCTATACACTATTTGCCATATTATACAATTTTTATTTTCTAATAATTTGCCATCTACATCAGTAATGTGCCCTAGCAGATAAGGTGTTTGATTGTAAACAAAATATCAAAAGAATTTGTTGTAGGTAGTTTTGATATTTGTGATCTCCACATAGAAAAATTATCTTGATTTAAACATGTCTCAGTTACGTTCTAGCTTTGGGACATCAATAATTTTAATGTACAAGGAATACATATTGAATTTCTTGTAAGCCATCTGAGATTGCTAACCTTCTCAAGTGGAGCTGGAGGGGCTGGAATTGATTACCATGAATGAAGAGAGGAAAAGATAGCAGAAGAACAATCAGAGAAAGAAGAACTAGGCTCAACAAATAAGACAAAAACTCATTTTATTTATCGTTTCATTCTTATAGATAAAGAACAATACAAGTTTATTTAAATAGGCAACTCAGTGG